TCCCCGCCTGCTGCCCTCTCCCTCGCGCTGCAGCGGTGCGGATGGAGCAAACCCTGCGGGAGTGCGGGGAGCCGGGGCTTTCCTCTCACGGAAATCTCTGCACAGCCCGGACCCGTCTGGGGTATTGTTAGAGGAGCCGGGTCTTGGCAGGGAAAGGCTGTTCTGCAGAGGGAGCAGGGGAGGAAAACATGGGAAATAGGACAGGAAGGAAGCAGGGCATGGCTGGGCTGAAGGAGCTGCTGTGTCTGACGCCAGGAGGGGACAGGCCTGTTCCCCCCACTCTGAGCTCCTCCGAGCCGTCGTCCCCTGGGAGCTGGGAGCCGCGGAGGAGGAGGAGCGCAGCATCTCCTGCAGACTCTTAGCAAATTCAGGCATGCCCAGCTTCCTTGCCACTTACCAGCCAGCAGCTGCCTCCCAGGGCTAAGCAGAAATACAGGTTTTAATGGGGGGAGGAGGAGGAGGATGGGGATTACATCTTGAGGATCACGAAACGCGAGGCTGTTTTTCCCTCTTGTCTTGGTTCCCTGCATGCAGGCAGCCATGATCTCACCGGGGCCATGGGCAGCGCTCCCGGCTGTCGCTGGGTGCATTCCCACCGTGCATTGACCCCTCCAGAGTAAACTCAGCGCTCGGGCTGTGCGCTGCTGTAAATCATCGGGATCTGTTTGCTCTGGCCAGCAAAGCAGAGTCGAAAGCAAACGCGTTCCTGGAAGCGCCGGGCTTGGCGTGCCCCGGGGTCGGGCCTCTGTCTGTCCGCTGCGGTTCTTCCCCGGGGTGGCACGCGGGGCTCTGCCGGGGCTGCCTGCGGCGGTGGGAAGCGGAGCACCGCAGGGGCTGCACTGCGGCTGCCGGCCCTGGGTGCGCTCCCGACGGGACGGGGTGCAGCGGTTGTTTTGCGCTCTCTGCGACGTTGCCCTAGTGACGCTGGCTTCCTTCCCCTCGCATGGTTTCTCAAAGTCTCTGGCAGCTCCACCTCCGCCCTGCGCCTCAGCTCTTGCAGCGCGGCCAAGACCCGCGGGGAACGCGCTGCCCGCGAGGACACGTGACGCGACGCCCTGCTCGGCTGTTTGCTTTTGGGGACGGGAA